AGGTAAAGATATGCAGAAAAATCTAATCATTTGCTCCCATTTTGTGGTCATCTGGATTTCTGCAGCCTTGATCTGGTAGATAGACTTACAAATTTTAGCATTTTTTATTTGTTTCTTTTTTATTGTGTTATTATACATGTTGATACATTGTATTTATGTCTGTACATTGTTGTTTATATAATTAAAGACTGTGACATCTATTATTTAAATAATGTAGAATATTGAAAACAACAGAGAAAAAAAATATATCAATAGTATAAGCATTAAAATTACTTGGCTTTGCCATTCAAAATTTAGTAAAAGCATTTGTTATATAGTACAGGTTTTAGTCTGAAGCCAATTACTTAATATTAAAATCTCCATTGTATTATTACTTTACACACAGAGACACACATTAATGAAAGGAAAAGACTGATGAAAAGAGCAAATTTAAAATGAATTGAAAGATGAAAAAGGAAAATTGAGACAAAAAACTAGTTAGTTCTCAAGTAATCTCCGAGCCCAATGGTTGTAAAGGATCACATGACCAAACCTAATTTTACAATCTTTTTTGTGGCAGTTGTTAGGTAACAAGCAAATGCTAAGCATATACTGCCATCATTAAGCAAACTTAATGATAGCAGTATGGGTGGTACACCATACTATGGTATTGTTCAGTATGGGTGAGTTTTGCCGGAAACTAGAAATAGATGCCAGTTTCTGGGAAAACCATTGTAAAAGGCAGTCACGTGACCAAGGGACACTGCAAACGGCCATTAATGCAGGCTGGCTGAATGCCCAAAATGTGGTCACATAACTACAGAGGAATGTTGATGTCAGAACTTTGAAACTAGGTCTGACTAAGTAGTTTTTTGTCGTAAGTCAAGGACTATCTTTATTAGGTTTCTGTCTTGTCCCTTTTTATACAACTGCTAATTTGCAATAGTGTATTTGTAAACATTTAAGCCTTCTTAGTTATTGCTTTTGCAATGCTGCACGATGTTTTATGCATGCAAGAACCATTCAAGTGTAAGCATTAGTTGGGTAATTTGATTTAGATGTGCAGTTTCTCACTAGATTGTACAACAGTGATATTCACAAGTGTGAAAATGCAATACCATCAGAAAAATGTATTTTACTTAAGTCATACATTATTGTAATGGTGCCATAGTTAATATAATGAGGCAAATCTTTTTTTTTTAAACAAATTTTATTGATTTTCAAAGACAATACACAAACAAACAAAACATAGAACATAAAAACATAAAACATCTTTTCTGAAAGCTGCTTGATCCCGGGTTACATCTCTTCATACAGACACAAATTCAAATTCATATTCATTTTATATACCATTCCATATCTTATTACCATTTTCCATTTTCTATATAGCTTCTCACCTCTTTTAACTTTCTTAGTTTTATTTTATTTGTCTCATCTCAGTTCAGATCATAATACTTATTATTCTTTGTCTGTTCTGTTTCCAGCTATCTATTTCTCTTTTCTCTTTAGATAACTCCTGTACACTGATTGGAGTGTGACGCCTTTAACTCTTTCCCCTAAATTTATAATACTTAATATAATACATGACTTCCATTGGGATTCTGTTTAGTACATTCTAAAATTACACATTATATTTTATAAAAAGAAAACATTTATAAGTATATAATATAATTAAAACAACTATCAATGCCAATACAGATCTAATCATTAATATTAATATTCATTTATATCTTACACATTACTTTTCAATTGAATATCATACTTTTATGGGGACACTTATGCTTTCCATAGTTATTTCATAAATCATTGTATCATTAAAATGTTCCCATTTCCTCCTACTTCAATTTTCTCATTTATTTCATTGCCTTCTTTTTATTCACAAAAAAATCACTAAGTTACACTAAATATTTTATCCCATTTTTGATCACATGTTGTTTCCAATTTTCTAACATTATTTCTAAGTACAAATATAAAAATACAATCTTGTGTACCTTTGCAGAATCCCTTTTTCAATTAAGTTTACCCATTATCTCTAAATGAATCTTGTTTCTTTACATCTTGCTCCCCACCATTAAGGCTTCTCATCCCTTCCTTCCTCCCTTGCTTGTTCTTCTCCCTGCCCTTTTTACCCCCTTGTCTCTCCACCTCCCTTTTCTTCTTCTGCTTTCCCCCTTTCTGTTGTTTTCTAACATTATATCCACTTTTCACCTTATTTTTCTCTTTTTTGGTTGTTTTTTCAAGTCTTAAAGTCCCCTTTTTCTTTTCCTCTTTCTCCCTTTCTTCCTCAAATAAAGTTACTTGTTCATCAAAGATGGCTTCTTCTTTGTCCCAATCATCTTGTTGCGCAGTCAGTTTCTCATAAGTGCAAATCGCCATTTCTAGAAATTGAAAAAGAGTGCCAAGAGAATCTTTCCCTTCTTGTTCTTCTTTACATTTTTGGTATTCAATTTTCAATTCATCCACAAGTGATGCCATTGTAGAAAGAAAGGGTTTTTCCAAAACAACCACCCAAGTGTTTTTAATCAAAAATAATTCCAAAAAATCCCAAAGTCACCAAACAATCCAAATAGGCTGTTTCTTTTAACACTTTCTTCTTTCTTCACTTTCTCTTTCTGGGGTTACTGTTTAGTTACAAAGTTCCAGTTAAAATGCATCTTTTAGAAGTCTTGTTAATACTTAATAATTCTTTAAGATTCTAGGCAATCTCCTCCTTACTTCCAAATCCTGCTCCAATTCTTTTCCTCTCCCTTCCCACTTACAGCAAAAAAGATTTTTTTAAATATTCAGAAATCCTTATCCCTTTAGCATTTGATTACCTGTTAGTGCCAATGCGGGTTTTTCCGATTTCTCTTGCTTTTCTATTCGCTGTCACGTTAGGAAGGAGAGTGAAAAAAATGTTTTTTTTTCTTTCCCTTTTAACTTCCGTTTGCCGCTTGTAAATCTTTGGAAACGATGTATCTTTCACAGATTTTTAAATTCCAGGGTACTTTCGCTGTTACTTTGTCCCGGTCAGCAAAAAGACTTTCACTTCTTCTCAACTCCTCCTGCACTTTCTTTTTCCGGCTGAGCGCTTCTATGTGGCGGCCATTTCTGACCGCCGCTCAGCTGCCTTCGGAAAAGGGGGTTTAGCCGGCTAGAGAAGAGAGGTGCGATATCTCTCGACCCTGCCAGATCCCCCCTGTCTTCGCCACCTTCTACGGAGGTGGCTAGCCCTGAAGCCGGGTGGCTCAGGGCACTCCGGCAGCGAGCGCAGGCAGAAACCACGCACAGTCGCAGATTCCTGCCTGCCCCGGAGCGCTGCAGACCGGAAATCCCATAATGAGGCAAATCTTGAAGACTTCCTACAGTAGCCATAAACCAGATTAAAGTCTCTAACACACTGGTTGGACCCTCCATAAACACGCAGTGTAAAAATGGAAACTGTCTAGTGAGGTACCAACCAACATTTGTTTGTTTTTTTATCTTGCCTTTATTATTCTGCCCAATGCTATTGTTTGTGAATACATTTTAAAACATTTTTATTAGCTCTAAGAAGAGCTAGTTGTTGCCATTTTAGGTATGAAACATTTAGTTTCAATCTGACACTAGTAATATTACTGCACCAGTATTTAAAGAATACATGACTGCCAAATTAGAAAAAATAACTTGTAATTTAACGTAAGTCCACTATAACAAGTTTGAATTGGGGTTTAGGTCAGAATTATCTGTGGGGTATCCATTCCCCTTCAGACACCATTACTAAACTAGTTATTTGTTTTCAAAGCTTTCATTTCTGAAGAAGTAAAAAAACTTCTATGATTGTGAGCCAGACTAGTAGAACAGGTAGTCCTTGACTTACAACAGCTCATTTAGTGACCATTTGAGGTTAAACAGCATTGAAACAAGCGACTGATAACCATTTTTCACAGTAATGACCGGTGCAGCATCTCCGTGGTCACATGATTTACATCTGGAGGCTTGACAACTAGTTCACATTGACTGGTTCATGTTGACGATTGCAATGCCCCTGGGATCACGTGACCACCTTTTGTGACCTCCTGACAAAGACATCGGGAAGCCGGATGCACTTAACCCTGTTACTAATTTAACAACTGGGGTGATTCACTTAACAAATGTGGCAAGGAAAGTCGTAAAATCACTTAACAATATTGTCTCACTTGGCAAAATAAATTCTGGGCTCCATTGCAGTTGTGAGTTCAGGACTCCCTGTATACAATCGTTTTTGAATCACCTTCAAACCCAGCATTTTAGCCAAAAAAACCCATTCCCCCACCCCCCACCCAAGCCACACTTCCACATGTGCAACAACAGAAAAACGACTGGAGGGCATTTTAAGCGTCCTTCTCAACGGGTATTTAGAATAGAATAGAATGAGCTAAAAGGGACCTTGGAGGTCTTCTAGTCTAGCCCCCTGGTCAAGCAGGAGAACCTATATACCATTTCAGATAAGTGACTGTTTAGTCTCGCCTTAAAAGCCGCCAGGGATGCCCACCATTTCTGAAGGCAAGCTGTTTGCCTATCTCTTCTTACTCGGGAGTAAGTCTTTTACGGAAATCAGCCGAAACCGATTTCCTGAGGACTGCAGCCAGAAAGGCGACGGCGTCAGCAAGCGGCTTCCAACGCTTCTCGCCTACCAAAAGCGCGGCGGCTCCACTTCAACTTCGGAAACAGGAAGGAAGCCTCTGATTGAAGAGGGCGGCTGAGCTTTATTTCCCAGAGCGCCTTCCATTTTCGGGTCGCAGGCGCGGTATCAGGCGAGCCCCGTACCAAGCAATTATGTAACCCACGTCCAGTTTCAAACGAATATAATGAAGGGGGGGGGAGAGCAACGAAGCTGAGCCGAGGCAACCCCGTCCTGGACACAGCGCGCGGCGTTTGCAAGCCCCGGAATTGTCACCGCCTCTCCCTCCTCCTCCTCCTCCTGCTCACCGCGCGCCCAGCTCGAGCGAGGCCACTAGAGAACGGCTCTCCGAAAGGGAGGGGGGGGAAATGAGGACCGCGCAGGCGCACCAGGAGCCTGACGGTCCAATATGGCTGAGCTGTTGCTGCTGCCGCCGCCGTTGCCAGCGCTGCCTCTTTTTGCAGGACAGGGGGAGTTGAAGGGAGGATGCTGAACTACTCCGGAGCAGCAGCGGGAGTGGTAGGTGGAGCGAGGTTAGCGAGGACGAAGCCGGCCTCTGCTCGGCTATGGCCCGCCTGGCAGATTATTTCATTGTGGTGGGCTACGACCATGAGAAGACAGGTAGGTGTGGCTATGGGTAATACGCCGTTGTCTCTCTGCCTTGTATTTTGGAGGGGGGCGGCTTTCCTATCGGAAGGGGGCGGGCGTGGAGGAAGGGAGGGCAGCTGGTCATCGTGGGGAGGGGGAGGGGGCGACGAGGATCCCCTTGGGGGCGGCAGGGGGGATCACGGAGAAGTGGGTGGAGGAATGACAGGAACAAGCGTTTGGGCTTCCTCTCCCGTGGTTGAGTGGCTTGGCAAGGAAGAGGAGTGTGCGTGTGTATGTGTGTCAGTCATCTTCTTTATGAGACTGGCACGCAAGGGGATGAGATCTGACACGCAAGGGGATCATAGCAGCATCAGAAACGGAGGCTGGTTCCCCCTCTTTGAGAATTGGGCGTGGAGATGTAAAGGGGGCATTCCCCCCCTCTCCTTTGAAAGGCCATCCCCATGGTTTTCCTGTGGGGATGGGGGACAAGTTGGCTTCCCAGCATGGCTAGGGGGGAGTTTTATTGACCACCTGGCCAAGGAAAGTGAAAAGCAGCCTGTAGTAGCTTCTTCCTTTATTTAATGGCACGCTGGGCTGGGTCAGTGTATTAGGTGAGTGCCAGGTGGTGAGGGCTTCTTCTTCCCCAACATTGGGAGAAATATAAACATTAGAACGAATGTGCCCTCCTCGTCTGTGTTATCCTGAGCATTTAACATCCAGTAGTAATTAAGGTTTGTTTGGCCACGTGATAGTTGACTAAATTTAGTTGGCTCCAGAAATACATACAGTCAAGGAAACGTGGGTAACTTGTTGAAACACAACCAATGCAGATATATAACCATGGTAAAAACCAGTTACTTGTAATTTGCAAGGAGAGTTTGAATCTGGGAAATAAGTTTATAAATTTATATGAATACATTTATTCAGGTTCTGGGAATATTTTAATAAATTTAGGGTACTTCTTAATAAGAACTCAGTAAGAAGCATGCTTATTTTTATAGGCCTGCTTCAAAAAGAATAGGGTTTTGTTCCTTTTTAGTAGATATAATGAAGGGTTATTTTTCCAATATTTTTCTTATGTTTTCTTTTTGCTATGTTAGAAGGAAATGTAGTTTGGTTTGTCTAGAAATGTTTCTACATAAGAATGCAGGATCTGGTACTCTTCTATCTACTATAGCACACAAAGCACAGTATTTGTAGAAATATGGGATAAAAATGGTCAGCTTACTTGAGAGAAGATGATAATTTTACAGAGATATGATATGGAATGTTGAGTTAGTGTTATTTTCCTATCTTAAAAATAATAAAAGTTGTAAGATTCATGTTCAAAGAATTGAAATAGGAGTCAGGAAACAAATATTTAGGAATTATTGCATGGTAGCAGCAACATTGCTATACAGCAGTGTTTCTTAAAGTGTGGTCCTGTCCTCTTTTCTCCCCCCCCCCCACCTCAGTGGTCTTTGAAATCAAAATTTTTTGCCACCTTATGTTCAAAAATAATACAACCTTAAAATCCTATCAAACAATCTAAGAAATGATAGTGGCAGTGAATGCATCAATTTTACTTTTTAACATATTAAATGTTGATAAACATAACTCATGCGGACAAAAGCTCTTTTGGAGTCCTCCATAATAGGTGGGAAGAGGTTCTGACAGAAAAGTTAAAGGAAGACTGATATACAGTGGTGTTAGCTAATTCCAAGTAACTCTACTTCCATTTATTTATTAGTTGTTGCCCTTCCAATGTTATATTTGTAATATGGTATTTCAGCTTTTAAAGATACTGGCTATATCACAACCTACACAGAGTGGGATATTGTATATTTTGTAGTTATAATTGAATTGTATTTCTATTAAAAGTCGCCTATGTATGAGTTGGGTGGCTATATAAATTTGTTTAATAAATAATAAAGTGCATATTAGTTACCGTTTATTAACTTTAGATCTGAAAATATTTAAGAAATTGTCCAGTTTCATGAAGCAGGGTTTTTAAAGGGTTCAAAGAAAGTTTTAAAATTATATGTTCTGAATATACAGGATTAGTCTAGCAAAGTACTTTCTATGCCAATGCAGATTTTAAACTCTTGATAAAATAACTTATCAAATGCATGTTAGATTTGAAGCAAATGAATCTTCAGATTATTACTTTAAATTTTTACAAATATGCAGTTAAATTCCCCTTTGCATGCTTGTTTATTTTTAGAGTCAGTAATTAAAACTGTTTCAGACAGAACCTTCTGTAAAAGAATAAATGTGCACTGTCTATTCTAAATTCCTTTATCCCACATGCAGTCCCATGATGCATAGAGAATTGACCTTTCTTAATCAGATTTTTTTCCTAGTGAAACTCCAGCATTATGAAGTTGTTCTACAATCCATACGCTTAAAAACAAATGGTAGTGTAGTGTAGTATGTCATATTTAGTTTTGCACGGGTTTAGTTGTTAATATATTTTGACATAGGCCTAGTATGTTCTTCAAACTTAACTATGATCTGGAGCAGTTAAAAACTGAGAGTCAGGGATATTTTAAAATCTGACAGGCTCATTTTTCCAGTGCTTTCTTAATGAAAGCTAATTACAATAGACTTTTCTCCCAAGTTAGGCTAAATCTTCTAATACCATATAGTTTGTCCACCTTGGGAGTTCTTTGCCTTTCCATCAAAGACTTCTTCCTTGTGTTTATCTCTTGGGAAACAGAATAGAAGGTGCTTTGGATTTCCCGAGAATCATACAGTGTAACAAATCTTATGCCAAATCTGGCAATATTTAACATAATGCAGTCTGTGGAGATTTCCAATCATCCAGATCATGGTTATCCCAAAGATGCTTTTCCAAAAAGCAACTGGACTTTCTTGGTGAAGTCCAGTTGCCTTTTGGAAAAGCACCTTTGGGATAATTGTGTAATTTTCCATGTGTCCATGGACTGTTCAATTTTGACGTAAATGGCCTCTTTGACTCCTGTTTCAAACCAGTGGTCCTCTCTGTCCAAAATGTGGACTTTGCTGTCTTCAAAAGAATAGCCTTTGTGTTTTAAACGCAAATGGACTGCTGAATCTTGTCCTAATGTGTTTGTTCTATGTTGTGCCATGTATTTATAAAGTAGTAGTTTTGTTTCCCCAATGTACAGATCTGCACATGTCTCACTGCATTGTACTGCATATACCACGTTGCTCAGTTTGTGTGTGGGTTTTTTATCCTTGGGGTAGACAAGCTTCTGCCTTAATGTATTCTTGGGTATAAAGTGTGCACATATGTTGTGTTGGCTGAAGATCCTCCTGAGCTTTTCAGATATTCTTGCAATGTATGGAACGACAACATTGCTTCATTTAGTATTATTGTTGAATATACATGTGTACATTCTACTGGAGATTTGCTTTTTGCTTGAAAACTTCAGTTTTAAAGTTTTTTAGACTACTTTTAATTTTCAGGTATCCCTCTTTTGGTTGTTCCACATGCTGGTGTATGACCATAATAAAGATCTGATCTGATTTGATTTTCCATTGAACCAGTTGTCTGATGCTAATATGACTGTTCCTCATTGTCATGTACTTTGATATTCCACTGTTCCTTTTAGCTCACTTTTGTTTAGGTTGACCAGGAGCAGCTCTTTGGTGATTGCTGATATGTCATATCAAGCTATAGTTGATTGACTTTGTTTTGTTGAATAGGACAACTATGTTTTTTCCAGTACAGTGGATGAGTTCATGCTCTGTATGAATTGAATCAAATTGTTCTGAATTAATGTGATATGTAAATTCAGTACTTCAGTTTCATTAGATATCTTTTCCAGAGTTTTCAGGGACTGAAACTATACACATTCTGTTTAGTTGTTTTGCCCAGATTTTGGCATGGAGAGATTTTTCCTGTTACATGCAGTGTGTCCTTAAACATGTAGCTATGTCCTTTTATTGCGAATTGACTATTTAGGAGGCATGCATGCATGCAGGTTTTTGAAATTAATTGAATTTAGAAAAACAGATTTCTATAACATTTTAATGTCTAAATAGTAAGATTGTGTTAGATAGTAGCAGCTGGATCAACTTGTGTAGTTTCAAAAACTGAACAAGATTGGGTCTGATTAATCCTTGGATGGCAGAATGCAACCATGGAATTTCAATGCTGTAATCTTGGACTGGGAAGATACAATATATCCTAATTCTAAATGCAGAAATGGCAAACTTATTTCTGTATTTTTGTTACAAATATTGCATGGCTGACCTTTTTAGTTAAGATTTTAAACTAATGACAATCTATATCTTGTTGAAACTATGTGAGAGTATTTTACCAACTTTGTTTTTCAACTCACATATTACTGTCAATCTGTATAATGTAACTTTATTCTGTTTCAAGTTTTTATTTTTATAGCATATAAAAATTCCAATTTCAATCGAACAATGTGTTGTCTGGGTACAATATTTTTAGGATGTAATAAGGTGTTTACAACAATATTCATTACATTTATGTTAATTATAGTAGTATCAATAATATTATTTACTTAACCAATTAACATGTCTGTCTTATATCACTGATCCTATCCATCTATTTCCCTGTATCTAGCTCCTGTTTTTTTTCAGCTAGCCACTGATCCCAAGTCAAAACGTATTCAGTTTCCTTCTTCGATTTTAGTGTTACCCTATCCATTTCTACACATTCTAATATTTTTTAAATTACATGTTCATCTGTTGGGATCTCTTCACATGTCCATTGTTACACAAATACAATTCTAGCTGCAGTCAGTACATACAAAATCAAATATACATTCCCTCTGTTATAATATTACTTTCATATAGTCATATTGTATATTAGCATATAAATTATCCTGATTTTTCTGACAAATTTCAGGTCCTGTCTCTTGGGCTGCAGATACCCTTTGACAGTGTTGTTTGCAAACCTATACAACTGTGATGAAAAAGGTTTTATGTATTACCTGACAAATACATATAAATACGTGAGACCAAATGCATGAATTGTATATGCACCATAATACAAGAAATATATTTTCTACTTCTTGTGAAGAAAGGGGGAAAGCTAT